GCCAAACACTCTTGCTCAGTTATAGTGTAGTTCTTTTCAGCAGGGGTGAGTACGCGACTGGCATATGCAACAACTTTCTCTAGGGAAGACTTGTCGCGTTGTAGAAGAATGGCTCCTATACCAAGGCCGCTAGTGTCAGTATGAAGGATAGTCGGTGCGGCTTCGTCAAAGTGGCAGAGCAGAGGTTCGGACGTGAGTGCCCGCTTCAACAGCTCGAATTCCGTTTGACATTCTTGAGACCACAGAAAGGGGACGTTCGAAGCGAGTATTTGGTGTAATGGAGCAGCAATAGAAGCGAAGTTCTGGATAAACCGGCGAAAATAGGAGGCGAGGCCAAGGAAACTGCGAAGCTCCTTTGGTTTTTCGGGACGCGGAAAGTGAAGGACTGCAGAAATCTTGTCAGGGTCGGGCCGGATGCCATCTTTGCTAACGACATGTCCCAAGACCTTGATAGATTTGCTAGCGAAAGAGCATTTCTTAGTGTTTATTTGAAGCCCGGCGCCGGCAAGGCATGTCAAAACTTGATCCAGTCGTTCTAGGTGCTCAGGAAACGTTGACGAAAAGATAATAATGTCATCCAGGTAGCAAAGGCAACTTTTCCATTTCAGGCCGCGCAGCACGGTATCTATCATGCGCTCAAAAGTCGCGGGTGCGTTGCAGAGCCCGAAAGGCATCACGTTGAATTCATATAGCCCGTCAGGGGTTGCAAACGCCGTTTTCTCCTTATCGTCTTCATGCATGGGGATCTGCCAGTACCCAGAACGCAAGTCGATGCTTGAAAAAAATTCCGCGCCTTGTAGGGAATCAAGGGCGTCGTCAATGCGTGGCATAGGGTACACGTCCTTGCGTGTGATCTTATTGAGCGCCCGGTAGTCCACGCAAAAACGCACAGAGCCATCCTTCTTGCGCACCAAAACAATAGGAGACGACCAAGGGCTAGATGAAGGACGGATGATTTCCCGTTTAAGCATGTCCGCAACGTTTTCTTCTATAATTCTTCTTTCAGCTAGAGACACGCGGTAGGGTCGGCGGTGTACGATAGATGTCCCAACAGTTTGAATTCGATGGGCTGTAGTATTAGTGCGGCCCAGCTTAGACGAGCAAAAATCGAAAGAATTTGCATGTTTCTGTAACAATGCGAGCAGCTGCTGCCTCTGTGAATATGTCAATTCGCTGCTGATAGCGGTGGTAAAGGCGGAGGAAGAAACATGCTCACCGAGGGAAGGTTCTTTGGATGCGATGGCCCGAAGTGGCGTGACAAATACAGGCTCGAAGTCGGCAACACGGGCCACAGTAGTGCCCTGTGGCAGTAAGATCTTCTCCGGTGTAGAGTTGACAGCGGTGACAAGTGCAGAGCCATTGCAAAAACGAACGACACCGGACGGAAGAACTATACCTTTACGAATGCAAAGTGGTGACGGTGAGACCAATACATCCCCGTGATAGATGTCGTTGGACGTAATGCTGACAATTTGCTCTTGTAGTGGCGGCAGTTCGATGTCTTTCGCAGTGACCAGACGAAGTGGCTTGTGATTGTCGTCGTCAAGCATGTAGTCGGTGTCAGCAAGGTGAACAACGCGTTTTCCACAACAAATCGCCGCGGAAGCAGATGATAGAAAATCCCACCCTAAAATTAGTTGGTGAGAGCAGCGGGACAGGACAGCAAACTGGACATGATGGCGGATGCCGTCGATGAACACACGCACAGTACAAAACGCGGAAGGGCGAATGACGTTCCCCTGGGCAGCAACTAACGTAGGGCCATCGTAAGGCGTCATTACTTTCCTTAAATGTTCACAATATATATATAGTGTTTGTGTGTAATAGTGCATATTCAAGAAAAACCTTTCATGTGAACAACCTACCCACACAGCTTTGGAGGCCAGTCTTTTTTTCCGCCGGAGCTTTTCTGCTGCAAATGAATTCTAAATAAAATGAAGTTATTCTAGTAACCGCAATATGTACACACGGACAAGCACAGGAGAAAGACTATTGGGTTTAGCACATCTTCTAAAGAAGGTGAAGAGGCACTGACCACGTGCTCGTCCTAAATCGGTTAATAGCAAGGAATATGCGAGCAAATAAAAGAACTGGAAACCCACCACGTATTAGCAAGGCTTATACAAATGATGGGCAATAGTTAACGCGTGATAAGAATATATAAATGTCCAATATGAGACGTAAAGAACAGATATGTAACATGTGCCCTTATCTGTGCCATGCGAGTGAGCGGGGTTGCTGCTGCTTGACGTAGTAATCTCTGCCGAAAACAGTGGTGGGCTCATGCCACGTTTCGGTGTTTCGTCTAGAAGAGTCATCTTTCATAACTTCACATATTGCTGTTGATGTCCACGAGGGCACACTTGAAAAAAAATCTGTCTTCTGCCGCTTGGAGCCTCGAAGACCGGCTCAGTGTACACACGTGCGAGGCGACACAAAGACCATCCTTTATCGCACTCCTTCCCTGTGCGCATCACTGGTCAAGCAGGTTTCGGGACAATGGGCACAATGGCACGTGTTTTCTCCCAACACATCCAGAGGGGCATGGCTAGCATGACGTGTACGTTCGAGGAATCTGAGCAATTGCAGTGTACCGCTTGTTGAGAAGTGTCGAGGCTGGCGCATGAAAGATTGCCTACAGGATGACTGCCATGACACGCTCGATCCACATTTCTGTCAGTTCACATGCGATAATAACAACACTAAATACATTGTTTTTTTATGACATACAATACACATATTGAATCAATCAGATTGTTTTGCCGCATGAAGCAAAATTGGCATCCTGGAATCAAATGTGTGTGCCGAAGTTTGAATGAATGTTATAGTAGCATCTTTGATGAAATTTTACAGGATTGTCACTCGGGATTCGGCAGATCTAGATATATTTTCACTACATTCTAATTTTACAATAATTGATGAGCAAGTACACATATTCTTGGCATGTTCTTAAATGTACATCCAGTCAACGTTCAAAACTTAGTCTCCGGTCAGACATCCAGTTTGGACGTCCAGAAAACAGCCACATGGGACATGGATTTTCACAGTATGTCCATTGGCTATCCGTGGTGGATATCCATACGACTGGACATTTGTATTCGTAATTGACAGCCAGCGAATATCCGTGGTAACTTGGGTGAGTGCGGAAGTGGGAAGTTGCCTGCTAAGGCAATGCATGGCACCCTTGTAGCGAGCCTGAGAGCATCTTTTTGCGGCAACTAATGGCAAACCAGAAGTTAGCTCAGGTGGAGAGAGGGTTCGGGAGCCGTCACTGGCATTCAGTGAGGAAGAATGCTAGCGTGGAGTTCGATGTGCACTGTCAGGAGGTATAGGTACCAGGGAGAGAAAAGCTTGGCTAGCATGGGAAACAAGCCCAGTGACCGAGGCGCTCATGGCTGGCACAGCACGCTGACTGGGGCCAAGAAGCTAAGGGAAATCATTCTCGATCCCCTCAAGTTTAAGAATACATACCTTAAATTGTAAGTGGCCTTTTGGATCGCCCAAATATGTGCTGATATTTTTTACTTTGGTATATCGTCTCCTAACTGTACTTTTTATTATAGGTATCATACTGTATTTGCATTGTGCGGCTCTGGATGGAGAGAAAAACACGCTGCATGTCAAAAAAATTTTCAAATTACTGATCACTGGAAATGTATGGTGGTTGAACTGCTACCTTTTTCAAGATAATCACCACAGAAGTAGTGCCTTACCATAAACGAAATGCCGCTTTAGTTGTCACCTCTGGGGGAACACTACTGGAAGCAGAACTTACATCTTTGGTGTACACTTATTGTACTGTATACAAGCTGCTTGACTACCACATTATGCAGGGCTGCCTGTACAAAAGATTAGGCTTCTGCGAATAGTGAATTTCAGGTCCGAATAGCGATTTTGTTCGAATAAGTTTGAATCGAATTCATATAGTATACATCACATATAAATAAAAGTGGGCACATTTGTCATGACCTAACTAACGTGCACAATATATTTTTTTTATTGAAACAAAGCCTGCGCAAAAATCCATTTAAAGGAAAAATAAACCACATTGAAAAGCAGTAGGACTTGGCTTTCGGTAGAATACAAGTGATAACCTGTAAAATATGTTGTTTTAAAATTTACTACACCTTCAGCATATTAGTTGGTATAACAAGAAACTTAAAAAAATGAAACTTAAAAAATGAAACTTAAAAAATGATGAAGCAAATGATGGATCAGTGTAAGGGTAATAGGTTAATTTAACCTTGAAGTGGGACTTCACGGCAGTGCAGATTTTTTCTAATTAGGTGTTTTCATGGCTTAACATCTCTTAACAGCAATGAAGCTACCTTTACAAGAAATTACCTGCAGGCTAATATTTAGACAGGTGCTTTCACGGCTTAGCATCCTTCCACTACAGTGAAACCACCTCTATAGAGGGTTAGATGTGGATTGATATACACCTATTTATTCATTTCGAATATGTTGAAATTTTCTATGCTTTAATTAAATGCGAATCAAATCGAATTTGAATATTGTAATATTTGTCTGAATATTCTAATGATTTAAATATTTGCACAAGCCTTCAAAAGACGCTTATCTGCTAGGTTAAAATTTCAGGGGTGCCCTCTGATGGCATGTTTCCATGTCCAAAAGAGGACAGAAACTGAACTTCAAGTCATTGTAACATATGGCATCATTAGTAACATGGCACAGCAGGTGCTGACTCTGGTTCTCACAGTAGTTATCAGACAAAACTGTTGGAACCATGAAGTGGTCTCCTGCAACACTGGCCAAGCACCATAAATGGCAAACTAATCATACTAATGCGGTACTAGGCAGATTCTTCCTTTTCCAGTGGTATGACATCTTACGGAATGTTTCCGCTTGGATCATGTGACTCTCCATGTGACAGCAACTGGAAGTATTGCTGCTGTGCTTTTTAGAGTATGAAAACACACCTGCCCATGGCTGTTGTGCACACACATATACTTACTCTGTGGATGTGATGTACATTGCAGGTGTGTGCTTCCCAGGCCTGGTGCTGTGGCTGCCTCAAGGTTGTGGCTGGCAGCAGCAGTCAGTACTCAGTCATTGAGCACCGAGAGAGAAGAGAGCGGTTGCCTAGCCTAGTAGCTGGCCACACAGTCTAAGTAGTGCGAACACAGGTGGACTAGGAATTGTCACATCTCTTGAATAATGTTACCCTGTGGACTCTGCAGCAGCTATATTGCTCAACAGGCAGTGTAATAAGCTATACCGCAATGCTTTACTAGAACACGCAGTAACGTTTCATTTACAAGCATGCAAAGCTAGAACGAAAGCAATTCCAATGGTGCTAAGGGGACCAGTGTAATCTGAGCTGCTGATGTGGATATTCTCCTTCCACAGGTTTTCAGTAAGCAGTGCAGGTGATTGTGATGTGTAGCTATGCTGCATCAATGCATGTTTTATGTGCCATTCCCATGTACGTTTACATTGTCAGAAGATATTTTCTTGATGCAGCTGCAGGTAGCTAAGCGTTATGGTGATATCATAGCGATTTTATGGAAAGTGAACATTTTTTATAGCTAGATACTATGTGCTACTTGTTTTATTGTAAGTTTTCATCATTTTTCTAGTCAATAAAGATGTTATGAAAATGCAACTCTTCTTTGGTGTAAAGCAACACATGCTCAGTGTTTCTGGTTGAGTTGCCCTAAACTGGGCCAAAAAGTGAAATATGCTGCATCCTACTGTATTTCAACAAAAGTAGCGTCAAAGTCGCTAACCCATTTTATACCGATAGGAGCTATGTAGGGCCAAGTAGATACCATCAAAATATCTGTGACAAGACTACAATGAATGTGGGATCTTCAGTGTGGCTTTGCCACTTGTGTTTTCTAGTTTGCAAAGAATTTTCTCGCTGCAAGCATAGTGATTTCGGTGGGATTTTTAAAGAGAAAAGTAGTTTTTCTCCATGCGAATTCTATGTTTTTTTTTTTTATTGCACGCCATGCACCAAGCAATGCGTGCTGCAGAAGAAGAGTCCGAAGCAAGAACATTGGATGGCTGGGATAATCACTTCCTGACTCTGAAGGTATTCCTCCTGGCACTACTGTCTCTACAACTCTTCGACTAGTACCTGGCCACCACATGAAGCTCACCACTGGTCCTCAGACTCCAGCAGCTACAGAACATCCGACCACGGTGGCAATCGGACTTGTAAAGCAGTGGAGGGTGCTAATAATATCTGCATCTTAACAGGCCACTACTAGGGGTTGAACTTGGGGAGGTCCAACACAGGGAACGAAAGTTAAATGAAAAGTTGCACGAGGATTTTGACCACTTTGAGCACGAGGATCGGCCCACCACGGGTGTGCTCAAGGATTTTGAAAACCTTTCAGTGAGATATATCACGAACTAGGTTAGAAGATTGGGGTAAGAACAGAAAGATTAACAGGTGATATCTGAGCAACCTACGATTTGCAGACAATATACTGTCCTTCAGCAATGATGGTGACAAAACACAGGTAGTGATTGATGACCTAAACTGAGGCACTGCTAATGCAGCATGCTAAATATATTAAATACACAAAGCCAATGATTAATAGCCCATCAGAAGAATTCACGACTGGCAATCGACCTCTAGAGTATGTATATACGAACCTAAGCAGATGGAGTCGCCAAAAACAAGGTTGGGCTGTAGCACTTTCTGCCTATACCTTTGGAGCGTGCTGTCTATTCTATATGTTCCATTGTGAGTGAGGTTCACAGCTGTAACAGAGATCGCCGCCCCCATCGCGGTCCCGCTGGCATTTGTGGAAGCTCCCGTTGACTGTGCCCTTGAGGTAACACTCCAGTAGGTGACACAGTTCACCAATGCTTAGGTAGGTTCTTTCGCCCAAGAGTGGATTGTTATTCAAAGCTGCTGTGCGCAGGACAACGCTAGCGCTATGCATGGGCATGCTGGTGAACAGGGACATGACATCAAATGAGACGATGCTCTCATCACTGCTCACTGTCACATCTTTCATGTGCTCCACATAGTGGCTCGCGTTGCATATGTGGGTCGGTGTTTTGCCGATGAACGGTGCCAGAGTCTGGTGGAAATTAGAGTTACAGTTACTTTAGTCCATGGAGATACTTTGACAATGAAATCCATGACAGAACAGAGCGGGACAGTGGTTGTGGGTATTGTAAAGCCTTGTAAAATTATGGTGCAGAGCCGTTTCGATAGATGAGCTGGAGGCAGTGGCGTAGCCAGATATTTTTCGGGGAGGGGGGGTACTTTTGTGGGTAGATGGTTCTTGCTTTCCGGTGCCTTTCGATGGGTGCCTGCAGCTTCTCTGTTCTCTTTAGGCTCTTGGTGGGGGACCTTTCGTCAGCTTTTCACAGGCTGGCCTGTGAAGGAGATGACAGGAAGATTGCGTTGCCTTTGTTGGCCGAGAGGGTGACAACATTCTCATCGTTTTGGAGTGCACGGATTGCATTGTTCTCTTCCCTCCACAGGTTGTGGTCATAGTGCTTTCCTCTTTTTTAAAGTACATTGTTGGCCTTATTGAGACGCACTTTTTCTGTTGTTGAGTTGCCTCTTCTGTAGTAGTGATCCTTGGTAGTAACGGATGCACCGTGGTCACATTGACCAGCACGCTGTGCTCGATTGGGGAGAGTTGTCTGCAGGACAGGTTGGTGACAAGCCTGCGTCGATGTTTACCTGCTTGCTACCGCGACTGAAGAAGCAACACCAAGGTGTAGTCTACATGGTGCTGTGTTCTAAGTGTCCAGCCAGTTTCATAGGCGAGAGCAAGTATTTCCTAGAGAGAATATGTCAACATAAGAACAATGTCAGGAACATGGAAGTGTCACGCAGAGCATCTTGCAGATCACTGTGAGAAGCACGACCATAAGATCGACATTGACGGTGCTTATGCTGTAGAGACAAAAGATTCTGAGAAGGAGGCTCTTGCTCAAGTCCTGACACATTCAAAACACACTTGCAAATGGAAAGCTGAAGCTGTGCATGGTGAAACAAGACTAAGAAAATGCTTTCATGACCAGCACAGTCACCCCCTCAGGAAAGGACTGAATCGGTCATGAAATATGTTTGTCTCTCTACAAACTTGGCAGTAATAATTTCAACCTTCTAAGTAATCCACCCAGACAGTAGGCCCACTTTATTTATTTATTTTTTCTGGGATGGAGGGCTGGGCTAAGGGCTTTTGTTGACTAAGAGCTTTAAAAACCACTACTCTCATTAAGCCCCATCCATCAAAATTACGAAGGGGCGGGCCCCTGGAAACCGCCTAGCTACGGATCTGCAAGCAATACATATTTTTGTCAAAATGTTCACATTTAAATGTCAAAATGTGCGGGCCTGTAACCAAAACCGAAAGTTGCTCAAACAGCCACTTGGCGGGCCCGGCATTTGTTTTGTGAGGGAAGCGGCCTCCTTTCCTATACAGTGACTACATTTAAGGTAACTATACTTTGCATGCTAAGGCAGTCACCGCTGTTTACGTCGTTTCCCTTTCTCGGCGATCGGCGTATGTCAATTAGGCCAGGTCACGTAATTCGGCTACAGCGAGCTTTCATTCTGGGTCACCAGCGGCACCGGATACCAGCAGCATTGCAGTGAAGCAGCATGTGCGCCTTATGTGGAGCAACAGGTGGCAGTGACTGGGCGGCAACTTTCCGAGGTCGTCGTGCCCTGTTAGTGGACGCCTTGACACACCCTTTTCTTACGGCAACCCGGTGCTGCTTCGTTTGACAGCTCTGCGCAATCAGGTAGGCATTCATAACGGTGCATTTGCTTCACCGTCCGTCGTGAGTGCTTAGCACGTTATTCGGTGACACGCTACGTGTGTCAACATCCGAAAGCGGAGCTAGTTTCTCTGCTAATTAGCGTGAAAACTGTTTCCCGAAATTCGGCCTACGTGATGAAACCCCCTTCTTATCAGTATACCTACATGTTCTGCCATAGTGCTCTTCGATCGAAACTCGATACTTGAGGTGCGTGGCTGCTGACAGCACGGAGGAAGCTGACAGTAGTGAGTGTTCATGGTCGTCATATGGTGACTGCATGCACCCCATGCTGGTGGGACCGTTCAGTCTGTGGTATCTGCTGTGGTTCTTGGCGGTGCTGCTGGCCATGACGTCTGACGTGCAGCGGACGGGCATGTTGTCAATTCCGTTCATTACACTTAGTCGACGTTACACGTCAGAAAGTGGCCGACTGACAGCTTTAGTAATAATAAGGAAACAACCCACTACTTTCAGAGAATTGATACACAACGTCTTTTTTTTTTTTTCTCACAATTTTGGGTTGCATATATGCTCCCTTTTCGAGCCGCCGGCCCTCTGTCTTGAGTTGGGGAGAGTTGACCCGTGTTTTTCGTCGTTCGGACGCCCCACTCCATCTCCCTCCGGGGCTCCATCGCATTTTGGCTGTTGAGGACAGTCCTGCGGCCAATTTTCTACATAAGGGACGGTGAGCAATGTGCCTGTCGAGGGAAGTAATAATTCCATGTCCATGACCATAAATTTTGTTGAGCACACATTAATTAACATATAACGAAAACAAAAGATCACTTACTAAACCCTACATGTTAATTATTAAGCTCATTAACCAGGTCTCTAATTATTCGGTACATAAAGCATGACAGCAAACACTTTTCTATGTAGTGAAGGCCTACAGTTATACCGAAAGCACAAACTTGGACTTTTTTTTTTTTTTGGAAAGTTAATAGAATGCACGCAAATTTATACGGCTTGTGCGTCCAGTATTGTAACTAAAGCATCAAGGAAAGTCATAGTCATTTACAAATGCCAAGTTAAGTCCTGGAAAGTGTTGGATGGCTTGAGCTGACATGACCTAATAAACTTGAGAATGTCTTCATAAAGCGAAGATTAGTGACCGAATTTAATGTTTCAGAGTATTCCAAACAAATGAGCATGCATGCATGCATAAATGTATTTTGTTTGACATGTGGTGCAAGCAGCTCCGGCTTGGAAGCTTCCAAAAATGTGCAGCAAATAACTGCTCCAAGCAGTTGTTTTGTTATGCTGCTTCCAAAGTGAGATTTCAGTTGCTCTAGAAGCGGGGCCAGAATGGCTTTGGTTAATCACATCACTTAAATTATGTAAAGCATATGAGTTCATCAAGGTTGTGACCTGCCACAATGAAATGCTGTGCCTCAGCGTTCCGTAATTTCTTTGCCGTGTCCATGGGATTAATGTAATAATAACAGGCTGTCCTGTTCTTCAATGTGTTGTTTGTAACAGTGAACATTTGAGCATGTAGACAACGTTTGAACTATTTTGCAGATAAAATCTAATTTTATATGATGGACACAGTCACGTCTGGTGCTTTTAATTATATCCTTGTGAAGGTGTTTACAAGTCTTGCGTCTCGGGCAAGAGCAAGCAGTTATGTGGGCAGTAGAAGGAAGGTCTAATAATATTTCAAAACATGTCTTAAAACCTTTAGAACTTTGCAGAATGCCTTTTTAAGGTGCTTATTGTTTGCTAATATTGGATATACTTAGATATGTAGGGGTGTATTGGATATGTAGGGGTGCACATTTGAGTACAGTGGACTCCAATTAAATGAAACTCTCTTAGACAAAGGTGCTGCTTAAATGGAACAACTGCCTCTAATATTTGTACTTGAATTAATCTGTCCCCCTGTTTCTCTCAATAGACAAAATGTCTGTGAAACGAGACACATTTTCATGATCCTTTCAGGTTTCGTTTAGCAGGAGTCTACTGTATTATTTAGTACAGCTGAACTTTAAGAGTCTCTTCTTGCTGATTTCCAAATTTACCTGCTTCATTGCACGTCTTGTTGAACACATGGTGCAAGTAATTTTTCTCAACTATAGTTGCCCTCAGATTGGTTTATGCAGTGCAAGCAGGCAGTATCAGTGACGATGGCCACGTTGACCACATGAGTAGTGCATGACTTGACAGGCATGAAGGAGTAGGGTGTGTGGTCCGCCTTCTTGACACTGAAAAGTCCCGCCATCTCCACAAAGTGAATGATGACAGAAGAGCTTGCTTGGAACTGACTGGATTACCTGTGAATCCTTCGCACATGTGCTCTACCGTCCTTATAAAGACTTGACACTTTATTATAAGGGTTATTGTATATACCAGTGGTTCTCAAATGGGGGTCCACGGACCCTAGGGGGTCCACGAAAGCCATTTCTAAGATCCGCGCAACTCTCACCCACTTTTAAACTTTTTTTTTGTTTTTACACATGCAACTTTGTTTAAGCGCGACTGTGCCGCATATTTATGAACTGTCCAAAATGAAGTGCCACGTTTAATGTTTTTGTTAGCAATAAAAGGCACCTATTTCACGCTCCAGTTGTGTTAATTTACCTATGTACTCCCCTCCCTTCCCTACAAGGGGTTCCCCATCACTTCCACCAGTCCACAAGGGGTCCCCGACACATCCGAAACATTCACGCGATACCCCCACCACTCTGTGAAGCTATATCAGCTCGTGTTATAACCTTGAGCACTTAAAGGGACATCAAATAATAATTGCTTTTCGATTTTTAAAGTGTTCTAAAGCCATCGTAGTGCTTTTTTTATGCCAAGGAAATGCTTAGTTTGGAAGAAAAACTTTTTAATGGTCCACATATTTTTAACGTAATTCAAGATGCCAGCCTCCAAGAATGGCGTTGCGGTGTAACGCTTGCCATGCTCTCCCTTTACTACATAATGGCTAGCACAGTGCAACACAGCATGACAAAAACATGACTTGAATCATTCATGAGGGTACAGTTTTTCTTTGTACAAATCATACTGAATAATACAAATTGCATATTATTCAGCCTTGTAATGCACTTAAGTATTCTTTTGTCATGATTAGCTTGTGTACTTGGTTAATCATATTGAAAGATTCTTAGGCATTGTTTCATGCAATTAAATCCAAAACTTCTGAGTATATATTCAGACATGCATCGGGTATGAAAGTTGTAACGGTGTCTGTTTCTTCACCATGTCAAAAGAGATGCTGTTCACCATGTCCACAAGAGATGCTGCATAAGAGAGAACCCTGACTGAATATATGCCTTGCACATGATACAGTTGCACAGTGACAATATTATGTATCACCAGGTTACATTCTTGTTAACTACATTAAGGTAAACTCTCATCCCCAAATGGGTTCTGCTGGTATTTTTGCCCATTCATTTCAATTACACTGCAATATATCACAGAATGGGCAAAAACAAAGCAGTTGATTAAATGTGCTTCAGTGTATATTGGGCACAATTGATAACCCAGTACATTGTGCAGGATAATTAGAACTTCAGTTCAAAAGATATGTATTGTACAATAGCTGTTGGTATTCTTTTCACTGTTTCACACATACAAGCACCCATGATGTGCCAAATTTCTATAGTGTGTAGGGGTGCTGACACCCCCTGTAAAGTTGTTGGCGACGAGTGGCGCACGCTGTCTCGCCCCAAAGCCGCATCTCGGGTGACGACATCGCGGGCGCGCTCGCCAATTCGAGACCCCACAAGTGAAACAGTACAAAGTTTTATTCGAAACAGAATTATTACAATAATAATCACATACAAATTTATGCAGGTGACATGGGCACTATGGATGGAAAAGCGGCCAGTGGGTGAGTACAGGTTTTATTGAACGTTAGTGATACTGAGAACATGGATTTCTCTGAAATATACGATAAACTAAATGCTAAAATATCTGATAGTGATTGTAAACATTTATAGGCTTTTGCGATTATGCAAACCAAAATTTGCACTTTCTTTGAAGCTTTGTAAAAGTCAGACCCAGGCCTTCTGCATGACAAGCAGGTGTTCTACCATGGAACCACACTAGTGCTTAAAACTGCTTCATTAAGTAAAAAAAAAAGGTATAAGAATGTCATGTAGTCGGAAGAGTCTCTGAGGCATTTAACATTGGGTAATGGAACTGTAGAATTGCACTAGCTGTCAAAATATGTGAATAGTGCAACGAGTGAATCGGTTAAAGCTGCCCAATCATTGTAGCTACCCAAGTGTGTAGCTGCGCAGGTGCGTGTGGCACCTTACAGATGCTTGGCTAGTGTTAATTCAAAAGGAAGAATCGTAATGTAGTGGACTCTTTACAACTGTGCTTGCAGTAGGCATTCTAGGATAGTCTGCAATGGCCAATGTTGCACAGACCTTCCTTCCCTTATGGCATGGTCGATCGCAATGTGCACAGGAAATCGTGTCATCGCTTTCTATTGTTTGTGGCAAAGCTCAGACATGCTTCAAATTTTTTTTTCGTAAATGGGATTGTAAGGAATGGGCTCTTACAGGTAATAACTTTGGGATCACTGACTTAGTTTGTTTATTGCCATATCGTTGCTATTCATATAGTTATTGGCTTGGGGTGGATCTCGCAGTAAGCCACATTTTGAAAGTCAAGCTGCGCCTGACTTTGTGTAGTGTGCACTATAGTGTTTGACACCCTTATGCTGAGAGGTTTTCACTGCAGCAGTAAAATCATGCTCATGGAGCCGAGCTTACTCACTGGAAGCTGTTGTTTTTGGATGTACAGCCGCGGCCACGTCTGTGTAGAGCACGCGAGCCATCGCTTTTTGCTTTGCGGCACAAAACCTTAAGGGAGTATCGGGCTCTGACACGGTAAGCCTGACAAATAGACTACGCATGCTCCTGATACACCACTTAAGACCCAGAAAGTGCCTAAAGCTTTCGTGCCGCCGGGCGAAAACTGACTGCTCGCGTGCTCTACACAGATGTGGCCGCGGTTGTACATGTGCCTAAAGAATTAAGGGATTTAGGAAAATATTTAGTGCCATTACTCATTTGTAAATGTGTTTTATAGCTCCTGTGAAAGGGAAGTTGTCGGAAAAGGACATTGCAACAAGCCTTCTTTGAGCGAGTAACTCATCCCGTTAATCTAAAGAGCTGAAAGCTACTGAAACCATAAAATTGTGGTTTTGTTGAATTTATTATACCCTTATTGGCCTCGGTCTGTGTTCCCAGGTAGTACTGAGTCACTCTGTGCTTGTGTTGTCAAATTTGCTTGAGGTTGTATGTTATGCACTGGAAATGGATCTGTGTTTCAGTGCATGATGATGGGAATTCTATAACAAGATTACCCCAGGTCAACCCAGTGTGAAATCTCTAAAAGAGGACTGATCTGCAGTTTTGTTACCCTTTAAATATTTTCGATCATCTGCCATGTTTTGTGATTCTTTTCAAGACTGGGTGCCCACCAGCGCCATCCCATCGCTACCCCTGTGGCACAATCACTACAGGCCTTTGGCTTGAGTTCACAATGCGCACACCACACGTTTTGGCTCCCTCGAACTGCACTTCCCCATTTTCGTCGTGTGGCTACTGCTTCGTCTGCAACCGGCACCCATTTGTCTGGGAACCAGATTTGACTATCCTTGGCACTCGCCTGTCGTCGGGACCAGCCCTAAAACAGCTCTGCTGTTAAAACGAGCCCCGTGCTTGAAATCATTGCTAAAAGTGCATGCTGGCTTAATTTTAGTTTTTATAAACTAGATCTCTTGCATTGATGTCTATGTGTGCAGGACAGATGACGACAGTTGGAGCTGGGATACAGACTTTGAAGATGATTCTGGATATGAGGTTCCACTTCAGGCTGGAGACTATGAGCCTGTTGGCTGGCCTTCTCAACACATTGCGAAACCTGAGAGACCTGGTGAGTGGCTGTGAACTTTTCTACTGGTTTCAGGCAAGGCTGGAAAAATCATAGGGCTCTCCTGATTTTTTGTCACCTGTACAAGCATACATCCGCTTAAAGATGCCATTGTTGTCACACCCATAGGTTTGTGCACAATTAAGGCGCTAAGGAGGTGCAGTGCCAGTGGGGGGCACAGTGGGGCAATAGCCCCCTCAAATTTCCTCATGCCCCTCCTTTGAACCCTTAAGAGGAAATATTTAAAACACGATGCATAGTTTCTTCTCCCTGTGCTCCTAAAGAAACTCGCTAATCATGAGTGCCCCCCCCCCTCCTACCAGTGAAAAAGTCCTGGCGCCAAGTGTGCCTTTATTCATTCTTATGCGTCTTGCTGCTGTTTATTGCCTAGGATGATGTCCATTCTGATTCTTAACAATAATAAGGTCCTTTCTAATATAGAAAGTAACGACACCCTCCTCTACTCCCATGCGTTCCTCCTCTATATTCTCTCCCGTCCAGCTTTGCACTCTGCGCATGTTTACTCATGAAGCAGTACACGGAGACGAGGCACAAAAGAAATGAGAAAGACACCGCTGTAGTTGTAACTAGTTTGTTTCGCAGAAACACTATTAGTATACGATATGTGGTGGCATTATAAAACTATGATCATCGTGAACTGGCATTCGCTGTCTTCGTCCGCTGCTTCATGTTCTGCTTCGCTTCCAAAACACGTCAGCCGATTGTTTCTGCATGAGGTTGACAGAAAAGAGAGAGTGGAGAGAAAAAGGAGAGGAAACATAACAGCGTATAGTATAGCATAGCAAGGGATGCGGAATAGAAGTGACAGTGAAGAGGTGGTGAGAGGGTAAAAATAGTATAGACTTGTATAGTACAGTATAGCAAGGATTGGAAAAGGAAGTGAGTGTGATGAGGAGGAAAATCGTGAAAAGCAACGCCACAGTTGGAGTGGTACACACCACTTGTGTTTTTTTTTTCTTCTAAAGATAAAAAAAAAGCTTGTCAGTGCTGTGGAGGAACTTGAGCTATGCTGGAACTTCACAGAGAACACAACTTGACATGCACGTGATAGCGGTGCTGCTGGCGCTCGGCTAGCAAAAAGAAGTGGGAACAAAGTACAGTCTGCCAAATCTTTAGCTGTTGTGCATGAATGGCAGTTTTTTCTGTGTATCTTTGCCATACGACTGAATTAAGTTTCAGTTGATAAAGGACAAGTGTATGCCCATAAGGCACATGTCCACGAAGCAATTTTTTGTAACTTTGTTCCATAATATGGCAGTGGCAGAAAAGTGGCCGCTGCGCTCAATAGCTAAAGTTTTGGCCGACTGTACATGTGAATTGTGTGTAGTGTTTCGCTACGTGCCAATTGCTTTGGCTAATTTTAAAGAAAAATTGAAACTATGTCAAGTGGACAGCGGGACATATGAGTCCCACTTGATGAAAGTGGTATAAGTGGACAATGGGACATACAGGCTCCACTTTTTTCTTCTCAGTAACGTTTATTCTCTCATTGTGTCCACCATTGGGTCAATATTGTGTCGAACAAGAAAACAAGCCCTTCATTTTACATTTCTTTCCTTCATTCATAGTTATAAAAGCAACGATAATTTTTTTGCTTGTCACTGCATTGTCAGACATCCAAACTTATTGTGTTTGCAAATTCTTGGGGATCATAAAAGTATTTTATCTTGTTTCTGACAAAGTACAGGCTAGATAAATTCTTGTAAGCAGCTATTTGCAAAGAAGTGTGGAAATTACAGTTTTTCTAACAGGCTTATTTTCTCTAAAAGTGCAAACTGAGAAAAATGAGTTAAAACATTTCACAACAAGCCATTTGTTTCTTACTGTCAAAATAAATTGAAGTGCCCTGCTGCATAGGTAGGGCCTTCCTCATCACTCATCAGCACGGCACTGTTCTGTGACAGTTGCATCCAATTGTCTTCATTTCTTTTGCAACTTTCAAGCCGTGAATATTGCTCACAACACTTATTAAATCACAAAACGGACCACCCACTGATCGCAGCGACCTTGCAGGAGAAAGAACAGTCAAACAGAGTAGCGCACAAGCCCAGCAGGAGTAACTCAGAATTGGAGCTAAACGAACTGGTGATAGTCACGTGATATGTTTATACCAATTAGAACTTCAGTTCTGGTTTTCCAGCAACTCTGCTTTTACCATGGCTAAAAATGGGCATTTTGAGTTTGTGTGTTCTTCAGTGTACTCACGATGTGGGGTCTTCCTTGACTAAAATGTGGGAAACGCAAATGTGCTAGAACTGGCTTTCAATTTGAGTTTGGCTTCTTGCCCGCTTTAGAGCCATGTCTTTAAGTGGGTGTTTTAGAGACACCTTAGACAGCGAATGCGTGCCACCATCTCGCGAAAGTAACTTTTTTTTCTTCTGCTGCATAGATAACTAAACTTGGTGAGGATGTTGATGAATGAACCAGCAATCCAAAGCTGAAATTTGAAAATTTAGATTTCTCACAGAAATAGTTTAGGCTTGCCTCCCCCCTTGACTGTTGTACAGTAATAATGGTTAGTGGAAACAAATTGAAGCGTGTAAAAAAACAATTGCGCCGCCTGTAGGGACATAACCTCTACAACCTTCAGACAACACGTGCGATGCACTATCAATTGAGCTGCAGCAGCAGTCGTTTTGGCATCCACTTTCTTGGGTATGTATCTGTACATGTAATTCTAAAATGTTAGCATGATTTGCAGCCATGTAGGTGAGTATGCAAAACCAACGCCTCCTCTATTTCTTTCAATGCCAGTGCGGACACGTGCTTTTCAATGGGAGCCGTCGGTTCACCTTAATTTAGGGAGTGGTCGTGATGCGGCGCTGTATGAGGGGTCGAGCTGCTCGAGTCACACGTGCTTTCTAGCGCTTTCCTGCGGAGATGCGACAGACATGTCCTTCTTTGTTGCCCGAAGCAATGCCGCCGGTTCATCACAGCACTCTCAATATCGGCGCATGCAGTTGTGTTGCAGTAATGCTTCCTCCTATCTCAAAACACTGTATCTTTTACAGAGCTAATATTATGAACACAAGGAGTGCAAGATGCTGCCCATGGATCCCTATGCATCTGAACAAAAAATCGCTTCATATGATTTTCGTGTTGAAGCACTACATGCTGGGCTCCTCTCCTTTATGACCGCAAAGCACTCGCGAAGGCTAGGGGTTGGGCGAGAGCAGGAAAGGGCTAGAGGAAAGAATCGCGAACGGCTCTGTTGTGTAGTGTGACTGTGGCCGCTAGGTTTGGCGGCAACAGGAAAGACAGCTACGAACATGTGATGTGTGGCCGCTCCACCTGGCGGCGTTGAAGTGGTCCTGAGTTGTTTTTGATACGCATGTGCTCAGTTGGTGTTTGCCGGCGGAGTGTGGCCTGGCGTAAATAAACGTTCGTGTTCCTCAACCCACAATCTGTAACACTGGCGACGAGGATGGGATAGGTCGGCATGACGTCCAGCGCGGCAATGGAGGACGGGCGGAACCCCGGACAACGGGAGGCCTCCAGCAATGGCTCCCTCGAGCAATTCAACTTGTCACAGCCGGACGAGTGGGAAGACTATGCTCAGCGGTTCGAATTCTTCCTGGAGGCGCAGGGCATTACGGACGCTGGAAAGAAAAGGTCGACGTTTCTCAGCCGTTGCGGGGCCGCGACGTTCCAGTTGGCCAAGGCCCTCGTCGCGCCGGACCAGCTGAAAGATACGCCGTACGAGGACATCATCGCTGCCCTTCGAAATCATCTTTCGCCGAAACCACCGGAATTGGCGCGGCGATACGAGTTCCATCGCAGAGAGCAAGCAACCGGTGAGTCCGTCGCTGCGTACCTCGCGGCTCTGCGAACGACTGCACAGCACTGCAACTTCGTTGACCTTGATAAGGCACTCCGAGACCGTTTCGTTTTTGGCCTGAGGAACGATAAAGCTAAACGGCGCATTTTGGCGAAAAAAGAAGTGTCGCTCGCCTGCGCCGTCGAGGAAGCTACCGCCGCTGAGGCCATCGACCGTGAGGCCAGCCAGTCGCGACTAAACGCAACCGCGCCGCGTACCGAGCCAGTGCACCAGGGAACGGTCGCCGACTGTGGAGAGGACCAGGACGGCCTCGAGGAATGTGTTCGTCAGTTACGTGCAGACACCAGTCAACGCAGGGACGCAGGACTGGGGGGGCGGATCTTGTGCTGGTTGTGGGGGGCCGCACGAGCGCCGGTTGTGTCGTTTCCGTGATGCCCAATGCCGAGGTTGCGGAAAAACAGGGCACATAGCCAAGGTCTGCCGGTCTCAACGGAAGCGGAACCGCCGTGCAAATTTTGAGACAAACGGCAGGACGGACAATTCGCGGACCACTCCGCGTGCGTGTACCTCGTACTGCGACAACCTCACGGAGACCGCCATCCACGATGTGCCCCAGCCCGGGACAAAGAAGATTCACGTTGCTGTCGAAATCGAAGGTGTGGAATGCGAGATGGAGGTGGACTCGGGATCCACGTTTTCGCTCATCTCCGAGGCTACGGCCAGGCAAATCTTCCCGAATGGGCGCATCCCGAAGTTGAAGCAACTCGACGTCGTTATGAAGGACTATCAGGGAAACAGCATAGCAGTGCAAGGGATGGCCACAGTTACAGTAAAATTCAGGGGTTTTGCTGGCCCACTGAAACTTGTCATTGTCAAAGGGCAGCGTCAAAGCCTCCTTGGACTAGACTGGTTTCCAGCATTAGGAATTAAGGTCACCGGAGTGCATCGCATGGACGAATTGGCCACGGCATTTGACAAGCTGTTTGAGGAGTTTGCTGTTGTCTTTGACGGGGGACTGGGGTGCTACAAGGGACCACCTGTGAAGTTGGCCTTGAACCCGGAGGTGGTGCCAGTCCGCCTAAAGGCAAGGAGGGTGCCCTTTGCACTGCGCCAAAAGATCGATGCCGAGCTTGACAAGCTGCTACAGCAGGGTGTTCTGGAGCCAGTGGACTGCGCGGAGTGGGAAACCCCTATTGTCACACCATTGAAGGGAAATGGAGACATCCGCATCTGTGCAGACTACAAGTGTACCATTAACAAGGCCCTCCAGCAGCATGCATATCCGGTGCCGGTGGTCAGCCACGTATTGGCTTCTCTCTCAGGCGGAACCATTTTTGCAACGCTCGACTTGGCCCAGGCTTACCAGCAGCTGCCTGTCACCGATGAGTCTGCAGCAGCACAGACCATCGTAACGCATCGTGGGGCGTTCAGGGTGCGCCGATTGCAGTTTGGTGTCAGTGTCGCACCTGGCATCTTTCAAAATCTAATGGAAACCCTCCTACGTGGAATACCAGGTGTAATTCCATATTTTGACGATGTGCTAATTGCAGGGGCGTCAGGTCAAGAATTGCTCTCTCGCCTTCGCGAGGTCCTTCGCCGTTTCCAGGATGCTGGGCTGAAGGTAGAAAGAGAGAAGTGCCAGCTGGGTGTCGCCCAAGTCGAGTTCTTGGGGTTTCGAATAGACGCCGAGGGCATCCATCCGACCCCAGAAAAAACACAGGCCATTCTTGGTGCACCTCGCCCGTCAAACAAGACCGAACTCCAGGCATTCCTGGGACTGGTGAACTTCTATCATGCGTTCTTGCCACACAAGGCCACTGTTGCGGAACCACTACACCGACTTTTGGACAAGAAGGCCACCTTTGTGTGGGGCCAAACACAACAAAGAGCGTTTGAAAGCGTGAAAGAACTCTTGGCATCCAATCAAGTCTTGACGCATTATGATGAGAAGCAACCTCTCATCCTTGCCTGTGATGCGTCCCCATACGGAATAGGAGCTGTGTTGAGCCACCGATTGCCCGGCGGCACAGAAGCACCGGTCGCCTTTTATTCAAGGACCCTGTCGAGTGCAGAGCGAAACTATGCACAGATCGATAAGGAGGCACTTGCCGTGGTTGCAGGCGTCAAAAATTTTCACGACTACCTGTTTGGCCGGCCTTTTCAGATCCAGACGGACCACAAGCCACTGCTCGGGTTGTTCACGTCTGACCGCCAGACACCACAGATGCTGTCTCCGGGGATGCTGCGCTGGTCTATCTTCCTGAATGGATACCAACATACGCTGCTCCACCGGGCTGGGAGGCACTTGGGCCATGCAGACGGCCTCAGCAGACTGCCCTTACAGCACCAGTGCCACGATGACCCCTCTCCCGCAGAGGTTGTCATGCTCCTGGATGCGCTGCCAGAACCACCCCTCCATGCAGCGGACATTGCCACCCACTCTGCCAAAGATCGCACCCTTTCACGTGTTCTTAACTGGGTCTGGAAGGGGTGGCCAAGGGGCAGCATGGGCCCAGAGTTTTCTGCCTTCACATCAAGGCAGCACGAACTGACTGCCCACAAGGGTTGCCTACTCTGGAGTGACCGTGTGGTGATTCCACAAAAGCTGCGGTTCCGGGTGCTGCACTGCATTCTGGGCACCCTGGTATTATCCGGATGAAGGCACTTGCCCGCAGCTATGTGTGGTGGCCAGGCATGGATGCTGCCATCGAAGAATGGGTCCGATGCTGCTCCTCTTGTCAGGAGACGCAGCCAGAGATGCCTCGAGCACCCGTCCACCCTTGGGAGGCGTCTCGGAACCCATGGTCCCGCCTCCATATGGATTTTGCCGGTCCCTTTCAAGGGCAGACCTTCTTAATCGTCGTGGATTCGTATTCAAAGTGGCTGGAGGTCATCCCAACATCCTCTATGACGTCACAGACAGTAATCAGTGCATTACGGAAACTGTTTGCCACGCATGGTCTCCCAGACACCATTGTCTCAGACAACGGAGCTCAGTTTAAGTCCACAGAGTTTCGAGAGTTCCTGGACAGCAATCTGATCCGCCAGGTAACTTCGGCACCATTCCACCCATCTACGAATGGCCAGGCAGAAAGGATGGTACGCACTACCAAGGAAGGCCTATCTCGCATCATCCAGGGGAACTGGGCACGGCGCCTGGCAGATTTCACACTGCAGCAGCACGTAACCCCACACACGACTACGGGGCGATCCCCGGCCGAGCTCCTGATGGGCCGCAAGTTGTCAACGATGATGTTGGACCGCCTGCACCCTGATCGGGCCCCAGAGAAGTCCACACGGTTGGCAGATTCCCCGTCCAAACCACGCACGTTTCAGCCTGAAGACCCTGTCTTCGCACGTAACTATGCTCAGGGGCCTCTGTGGATTCCAGCAGTGATCTCCCGTGCAACCGGACCAATATCTTATGAGGTCACGGCCCCTGATGGTCGAGTACTGCGCAGGCATGTGGACCAACTCCGTCGCCGGACGGTCGGGCCTACCCAAACGGCGGGTGCAGAACTGTAAAGACCGCAGCCTGAAAGACGACCGATGTCAACGTCTACCCCTGAAGGCTCGAGTTCTGTCCCGGTGGCCCCTGAAGGCTCGAGTTCGGCCCCTGTGGAGCCAGACGCACCTGGGGAGCAGCCGACTCCTGTGGTTAGCAGTGTGCCCCCACAGGAGGGCGGAACCGTTCCACTGACTGTCCCAGTGGAGGCAAATGGCGAGCCTTTAGTGCCACCACTGTGCCTTCGTCGCTCGCAGCGTGCTCGGGGAACCCCGCACCATCTAAGAGACTACGTACTGGCCCTGGCTGACTGCTGAGTTCAAACTTGGAGGGGAGGGGTGTTGTGTAGTGTGACTGTGGCCGCTAGGTTTGGCGGCAACAGGAAAGACAGCTACGAACATGTGATGTGTGGCCGCTCCACCTGGCGGCGTTGAAGTGGTCCTGAGTTGTTTTTGATACGCATGTGCTCAGTTGGTGTTTGCCGGCGGAGTGTGGCCTGGCGTAAATAAACGTTCGTGTTCCTCAACCCACAATCTGTAACAGGCTCGATCTGGTGCATGTGGCTAGCATTGATAAAATAGAGGAGGTGCTGGCAAAACTCTTTTTTTTTTTTGCCAACCGGCTACATGTTGCTCATGATCCATGAAGCATGAGCTTGCAGCTGACCAATAAACCATCAAGTCTGCTGGAACGAGACCCTTGCTATCAATGAACAAATGAAGGGCTTGTTTCGTTGTTAGACAAATCCTAATAAAGGCGACAGACAATGAAACCAACATGTTATCCTTAGGTTCTCGGCTTGGTCTCTACTGGTGGCTGAGTTGTGCTATCATTCACTTTTTTTTCCTTTCCATTTATGTCATAATGACTGCACTATGGCGAGACTACAAATAATGTTGATTATACGTCCCTTGGCTTCATTGTCTGTTGGTTTCGTTAGGCTGTGTCTAGCTAAAAAACAAGCCCTTGATTGATCTCCTTTCTTTCGTTCATGCATCTGTGCTTGTGTGATATGGATATTAAGCTGTCCACTAAAATATTCTTAAGGGGCCCTGCAATACTTTTCCAAGTAATCCTTGAAAGACTTAGCTGTCAGTGTAAATTGCCTTAGTAATTGGATCACAAAAAATTTGTAAATTCATCCAGCATGAGAGAAGTTATAAGGGTTCCAAGCACATTTTTTTTCTTTGTCCTCACGAGTGCTCTGGAAGTTCAACAAACAGGCATGATTGAAGAGAGGAAGCTACGTTAATATTCTGATTTGTATAATTTCCTCCTTCTTTGATTCTATTAGCAAGCACGAGGCGTCACCACAATGTGCTGCCCTGTGCCAGTTCCATTGTTGAGCAGAAATCTCGCCGACACATCAGTATGTAATACTATAGCAGCGTGTGCAGCACAATACAAGTTACAGACTTGGGCATGAAGCCTTTAAAGTATGCCACCTAACACGAACATAGGAGAAAGTGAAACTATAAGCAGAGGACCGTCAATAAGACCTGAATTAGCTAAAACGAGTATAGTTAATTTCTTTGTATTTTAAATAGAGAAACAGTGCATTTTCAATTCAGCTTAGAACACACAATCTAAATATTACTGAGACATGTATTGTGATGATGACACCAGCAAATGACTTTGACCTTCCCGTCTTCTATGTACTTGACACATCGACACCACAGTTTTTCAGGAGGGAGCGATTCCCAGCTGCCTGTGAAATTAAATCACGAATTTTCTTCTGCATGCCATTTTATATTATTTGTGCATGTTTACAGATTTCTGATGACTATTTGGCAGCATTTTCAGACTACAGTCAGAAAGGTGTCTTGAACACATTTAAAATGTTCAAGAAGGAAGGGAAGGGCAACTGGATATAATCATATTGACTCCTATACTCTAACATGAAAAGATGAAAGAAACATAATTGAAAAACTATGCCGTTGCGTTATCTTCTCGCAGCTGCTACCCTAAGCCGTCCACTGCCTCCAGTGCCACGTGTACAGGTGAGCCTTGTAATAAACCTCTCTCTCTTCAAGAAGTAGAACGTTGACGACAATGTCTCTGTCTGCACTGCTTTGCAAAACTCAATTTAGTTTAATTTGGTAGATTTTTTATGCTTTTGTGCTTTAGTATAGTATACTAGATTTTTTTTTTTTGTAATATTGTCCTAATGCATAAAGAACAGAACACCAGGACCACGGTACGTCCAACAAGCATACATGGCATTCTTTGAATAGATGTGCCAAGCTCGTCAGAGGAATCCACTGCTGGGCCAGTTTTCACATCAGCCTCCTTTTCGAGAAAATGGTCGCTCATGCATTCCAATTTTTTTTCTCTTCAGCCAATTTCATTGATACCACCCCCACCTTGACAACTTTCTGTACCTTACGTGTCATAGCACTGCCCGCGGGATGGCAGGCTTTCTCCAGGTCGCATGGTTTTGCAGTGCCTCTGGAATCGACGCACCTTTGACCAACCGGTGATATCGTGATGTTGTGGTGGCGTAATAATATCATGATTTTTCGGAACCCTCGTTTTGACATCGATGGCCACTTTTTGCATCTGATGAGGCTTCAAATGCTTTTGTCTCAATGAAAACAATAACAACAAATAAATAGTGCTGCTGTGTGCTGTTTTTGTTTCAAAAAATTTGTGAAAGGAAGGCGGGCATGGAAGAATACTGCCACTACATCAAACCCTATTGATTACTGCATGCCAAAGTGTGTGGTCTTCATGTAAATATATGTGTTTGTGCGTGTATATATGTATGTGTGCGTGTGTGTGTGCGTGTGTGCGTGTGTGTGTTTCTCATTCTCTAAATATGGTGCAAGTATCTAAAACCATTACAGCCGCACTTCTTGTGGTGTATTTGAATTCTGGCTGTCATCGCTGACGGTCTCTAAAGGCAAGTTTACTCTAGAGCAACATGACACTGATTTTAGTCTGCCGAAATGTCTTTGGGAGCATCTTTTGTCTTGTCTTCACCCTATTTACACTGCAATGACACAGTCTGCCAATTGTATCTGGAAGACTCCGTCCGTGCCTGGTGGTGCTCACAGCCTTTCGTTGGCCAGTTCTCTTGTCACTCTGGAGGCACACACAGCGGCACTGACTAAACTTACACAAAGAAATTGAAAGAGGGCCTGCACCTGCTCCCAATTTTCAGCCATCCTCCCTGCGTTGCCATTGTCTCTAACGGGCTTTGTGGTGCAGCCCCTGCCATCCTCCACGGTGTCGAGGGATGGGAGTAGGAACAGACAAAGGTGAAGTGAAGAAATGACTTCTGTAGGATGCGCAAGATGACCATTAGCTCTCGTGCGGGGCATCCTTATCCCCCCGCATGATTTTTGTGTTCGTCGCTAGAAGTGAGACACGGGCAAATTTTCGCTCTACCACTGATCTTCCTACGACCTGTCGACGACAAGTCTGCCAATGTGTTTTGCTGGTGTTTGTGGTCCGCCATCATGTTACACTACGACAACATGCTGTCTTTCGTGGCGGTGTCGTCGTTATCAGCCTAGTGTGTTGGACAGTCCGGCGATATTGTAGGCGGGCAACTTGTCGGCCGATCGTCTGCATCTTCCACGTGTCTGCGTTAGGGTCGTGTCAGTGTCGTGTCAGTGCTGTGTCAGTGTCGCGTCACTCTAGTGTAATTGCACTTTTATGCTACCCTCATAAAGCTATCTATTCTTTAGGCTGTAACAGACTTGCAATGAGACTCGAGGTGGTTGCAGTTCACATAGCTTTCTATTTTGCCATCTACAGACCCTCAATTTAAAACTCTTTTGGAATTCGGACAAATCGGGCAGAGCTGCTAGCGGCTTTCTTAAAGAACAAATGCTCCAGGGGCAGCATTTTGAGAGAACACCAAGCTGGCATTCTGTGCATGTTGGTAATCTATATTTAACAGTAAAGGTGCCTTAAAAATAATGACACTGAGAAGGAACATACATGGCACTATGTGTGTGTGTTTGTGTTTTTTCTTTGTGTTGTTGTCTCTGGTGTGCTTTTACTGTTGAATCCCTTTTACTAGTGCATCCCTTCAGAGCTATTCAGACTGAACCAACCTGGCATGCTGCAGGCTTGGTGTATAACGAACAACCTTTTTTTTTTTCCGTTAATGTCTCTGACTACTGTGTCACTCACTTTTCATAAAGTGAAAAGCTGTACATGCTTTCATGGACAAAACGGCCCACTTCGGTCTGAGTGCTGGGTTATGACTAGACAGAAGTTGTCAGTTGATTGATTGATCGATATGTGGGGTGTCAGTTGATTGATTGATCGATATGTGGGGTTTAACGTCCCAAAACCATCATATGATTATGAGAGACGCCGTAGTGGAGGGCTCCGGAAATTTAGACCACCTGGGGTTCTTTAACGTGCACCCATATCTGAGCACGCGGGCCTACAACATTTCCGCCTCCATCGGAAATGCAGCCGCAGCAGCCGGGATTCGATCCTGCGACCTGCGGGTCAGCAGCCGAGTGCCTTAGCCACTAGACCACCGCGGCGGGGCTAGTCAGTTGTATTGACCACACATTCTTCTAGACTCAGGTGTGCTTTTGCAGGCAAGTTACCAGTGCGTACTGCTATCGAAAATCACTTGCCACTTCTGCATTTTCAGTGGCTTCACCACTATTTGATTTGGAAGCGTTTCACCTCCATGCATGGTGCGTGCCTGCGTGTGTATTATGTGTACAAATAATAGATCAATGTGACATTTCCATTGTGCACCCACTTTCATAAATTGCAAGCCCACTTCCTTTCTCCTACTCAGGGAACAAAGGGCAGAGACACCATAGTGGAACCCAACGAAGGAACATTCATTTGCACATAGTAGGCTCTCCAGCCGAGTTATACACAGCAATCCATTGTAGTGCATGCATGCACGCATGCAGGCGCACGCACACACACTAACTACATAATCAATGACTCTGCATAACTGGAGAGCAAGGTAGTAATTTTCACTCCTACTCAAGCCTATGTTGCCCGCAGGCCAAATTTCGCAAATTCACCCGGGAGAATGAGAAAGGATCTGCACTGTAGCACATCTCATGGGTCTCTGTGCTCTGCTTTGATGTGCAGAAAAAGCGAGGAAGAAGAAGTGTGTTATGGCATAATTCTGCCTTGAACAACTCTCGTTTTTTCTTAAACTGTCAGAATTCCTGAATTTCTCTGAACAAGCGGAACGGAGGACGTCACCCCCCGGGATAGGGTACCATCTATCTATTGAGACCGCGGGCCCCAGCCGTTTGCCTAATGATGTACCGAAGGTTGGTGACCGCGTGGGCGCATCTGCTCCTTTTGATGATTTCACCGACAGCTCATCAGTGGAAGAGATGGAATCGGAAGCCGACTTCAGGACATTCAATATCCGCCGGTTGAAAAGGAAGCCATCAACAGCAGAGCCACAACCGGCATTGGACAAAGACAAGCGGTGTTTCACCATCTCGTATGTACGCATCTGTACATCAGACAACCTGAACTCACTCAACAGGCAGTAATTGAATAATTATTTCGAGCATGTTGCACCCGCTCAAGTGAATTAATTTCGCATGAATAGCAGAAAAAACATATTATCAGTTGATGTAACAAACAAAATCATTCTTGACAGACTGAAGGCCGTCACACAGCTCGGAAGTATCTCAGTTCGCGCATTCCTCGCTCATGGGAAAGAAACGACGACTGGCGTGATAAATGACGTCGACGCTGATATCACGGACGCTGACCTTTAGAATCTTGTGACATCGACAGTCAGAATTGTGACCGCTTCGGGCAGTCTCGCTGCACCAAACTTTTATTTGATTCTGAGACTCTGCCTCCTAGCGTGAAGGTTGGATACGTGAGACATCCTGTGCGCCTTTATGTGCCACGGCCTTTGCAGTGTCACAAGTGCTGCATGTTGGGACATGTCAGCGCAGTGTGCAAAAGTGAGACAACTTGTCAGCGGTGCGGCGGATCTCATAAGGTGGGAAACTGCGATACTGCTGTTCATTGAAATGTCCAAACTGCTCTGGTGCACATGAAGCAACATCGAAGGAGTGCCCGAAGAAATTCGGGTTCTGCGGAAGATGGTCAGAGACAACTCGACACACAGCGAGGCTGTCACGTCCATCCGCCGACACGGATGTCGTTCAAAACGTAACCAGCGAAACCATAGTGCACATAGGACATGCATCACCATCAGCAACAGATGCACGTACACGTGCGCATTATCAGGCCGCTACACCCATGTTGTACGCACCACATCCCAGGGATGCTGAAAATGGACCAACGCCCGCGTTGCGCGCCGATGCTTCAGATACTGAGTGGCCTTCGCTACCGTCCGGAGCAGTAAAAAAGACCACATCATGGGCTGCAACTTCAAAGAGGGCCGAAAATGATAGGCAAGACACTGAGAAGAACCAAACTATGCTGAAACATCTACTAAAATCTATTTGTGCGATTCTCAACGAGCTACAGGTGCCAGGTGCGAAAACAGCAGTGCAGATTCTCAACATGCTGGAACCGCTACTGCTGGCCCTTCCATAAACAATATGGTGAATTCTTCGATGAACATGTGCACACCTCTGCTATAATTCAGTAGAACGCAAGAGGTTTGCGAAGCCGATTGTCTGACTTTCGACAACGGATGTTTAAATACAAATTACGTTCGTTGTTATGTGTTAGCCGAATATGATGTCGCCGTTTCGGATTTCTGGATAAGTCACTTTGTGGTCACGCAATGATCAAAATGCGAGCAAAGTAATTATATGCGTAAGTCGAGATTTAACATACGTGAGGACATGCTGTGACTCCTCATGCTTCTGATGACTATATTTGCCCATCTATAAAGCACAAGCGACGTTCATTATCAATCATAGGTGGATGTACCCTCCTAGAAGCCACATGGACTGTTCCCACCTCTTGTCTGTGCTCCAAGCTTGCCCTGGACCACATGTATTAGTTGGGGATTTTAATGCACACCACCCCATGTGGGGTTCTGCCTCAATGAACACCCGCGGTAGGGACATTGCCGATTTTGTGCTCAATCAGGGCCTGATGTCCATCAACGATGGCTCACCTACTTACCTCCGTGGCTTATCGTACAGCAGCTGTCTGGACGTATGTTTTGTGAGCAGAAGTCTCTTGCCTACCACCTGTTGGTTCGTAGACGTTGAATCACATGGAAGTGACCATCTCCCTACATATATAGAGCTAAAAGGATTCCGTCGTTCGGCTCCCCTGCCTGTGAAAAGCGTAGACTGGCCAGGATTCTAAGCTTCTGTAAACGCTCAGTGCGGGAACATTCAATCTATATCTGAAATAGAAAGCCTCATTGCATCAGCCTTAACAATGCATGCAAAACTTGTGAATGTATCACTACCAAGACCACAACTTGACGCACAATATGAATACCTTCGTGCAATCCGTCGCCGGGCAAAGAGGAAATACAGGAGGTCGAAATCGCCATCTGACCTATCTATAGTACGCCAAGCACAACGACATGTATTGCGACACCTCGATAGGCTCGACAGGCAACGGTGGAGGGTATTTTGTGGCTCTCTTGATCCCAGAAAACCCCTATCTCAAATATGGCAAATTGTCCGGAGCCTTCAGACGCCCAAGCAACAGTTGTTCCCTTTACGAGCTTTGGCTCTAAAGCAAAGTCGCAGAAGATTACTGCCACTTACCCATAGGTATGTCCTCCTCAACGATATCACCTTCGTGTTTAGCCTCACCGCCATCCAGCGACGATCGCCTCGACTTACCATTCACAATGCACGAACTTGATGCTGCGATTTCTGCGTCCCGACGCTCGTTCGCAGCAGGGCCTGATGGAATCACTTATTCGGCTCTATATCACCTCAGCCAGGAAACAAGGCAGGCTCTCTTGTCGTTCTACAACTCTACGTGAAAAACGGCGACAGTCCCAGAGAGTTGGAAGTGCAGCCGCATATTGCCCTTACTGAAACCAGGCAAGTGTTCACACGAGTTGTCTTCCTATAGACCCATTGCCCTAGCCAGTTGCATCGATAAGGTGATGGAACGCAGGGTGCTGGCAAGATTGGAATGGCTGCTGGAGAATAATGTTGGCTTACCAGATTTTGTAAATGGCTTCCGTAGGGGTCGATCATTTATAGACAGTGTTGTAGACCTAGTTTCTTCTGTTGAAAAGGAAAGACAACATTGGAGATTGGTAGGGGCCATTTTTTTGGACATAAAGGGCGTGTACAATAGCGTCCATCATGAGGCCATTCTTGATGCACTTGAAGACATTGGCGTAGGTTGCAGACTACATGCATGGATAGTGAGCTATCTCAGAGGACGTACCATTTTTATGTTAACATCTGACGGCGACACGACCAGGCACCTCGTAAGCCGTGGAGTTCCGCAAGGCGCCGCCCTGAGCCCCATGCTTTTTAGCATAGCCCTTATTGGCCCTGAAGCTGAGCTTCCCGACGTTGTCAGAATCGGTGCGTATGCGGACGACATATGCATATGGGCATCTGGAGCAACGCGACCACAACCGCGAGTAAGGCTACAACAAGGCACATCAGTAACATCTAAGTACTTACGTTGTCAGGGCCTGGAAGTTTCAACAGCAAAATGTGCTGCATTGGCATTTACAAAATATCAATGTCGCGGTACCCAATCTTCGCTGATGGAGCAGTGATTCCCGTGGTCAAGCACCACCGCTATTTAGGGGTCGTCATTGATCGCAACCTGTCCTGGTCAAAGCATGTGAATGCGCTGCGGAACAAACTATTCAGTTTTGTGTATGTTCTTCGTGTTATAGCAGGACTGAGGTGGGGCCCTTCAGAGAAAAGTCTTCTGCAGTTGTACAAGGCATTGTTCGTGGGCTATATACGGTACAGCTCACCTGTACTTTCCGGCATGCGTGCAACGTGCCTTCGTACTTTTGGGAGCCTTCAGGCACGAGCACTGAGAACATGCCTAGGCCTGCCACGGTGCAGCGGACCGACCAGGCTGTACCTATTCGCAACACCTCGATACGCATAGACACATGATCTCTTCAGGCTTTGCACCTGCCATAATCCCTGCAGTGCCTCCATGGACAATGACTAAACCGCTGGTGTGCCTTCACATACGTGGAATTTCGTATAAGTCGCATGTTTCTTATATTGCCCTCAAGCAACTCACTTTGGCACATTTGGTTGACCGATACAGCGACTCTGTGCACATCTACACCGATGGATCCGTAACTTCGTCCGCCTCAGCTGCAGCCTTCGTGATCCCTCAGCTTGGTATTTCCCGACAGTACAAATTAGATCAGAGGTCATCTTCAACAGCTGCAGAACTTGTTGCTACTCAAGAAGCCATAAAATTTGTGAACGACCAAGCACCGCATAAATGGACGATTCTGTGCAATGCAAGATCGGCGCTTCAAGCTATCCATTCTTGCTCAAGAAGAGGTCAATTTTACGCGTTAGCGTTGGGAATCGTCCAAGCATTTGACCTAACACGCAGGAGTGGTCACTTGATTACACTCCAATGGATTCCGGGACACTGCGGCCTGGTTGGCAACAAAATAGCCGATAGCGAAGCAAGAGCGGCAGTATACAACACTCCTATGTACATCAAAGTACCATATTGGCGAAGTGACGTCAACACATTGTTGAGATCGCTCATGCACTGCCACTTACCGGTCGCTACCAGATCATCGGAACAAGCGTCTGGGGGAAACGGACCCCGGTATGACTTTTCGTCTTCCAGATAAAATCAGCCGAAGACATGCTAATATACTGCACCGGATTCGCCTGGGCGTCACCTTCACTCGTCATTACACCCACCTAATCTGACGTGCAGACAGCCCGAATTGTGAGCGCTGCCAAGTGCGCGAAACTTTTAGCTCGCATATTTTGTGACTGCGCATTATACATGGCGCAAAGAAAAATGCTAACTGCAACGTTGGCAAGCATCGGACGAACGCCATTGAGTGAAAGCCACATATTGTCAGCAATAAACGACCAAACAGTGTCAAAAACTGCTACAAAGGCTGTTTCAGACTTTATCAAAAGCTCTGGACTAGATACTAGACTGTAGGGTACTATGCTAAGTGGCTACTGTACATACGCACTACCTCTTCTTGTCCCCATCATCATCCTTCATCTCTCTTTTCTTCCCTCTTCCCTTATCCCCTGTGTAGAGTAGCAGCCTAGAGCGAACTAGCTCAGACCAACCTCTCTGCCTTCTAATAAATTCTCACACCTCCTCCTTTGATGTGCAGCCACTCTCCACAGAGTCTGGCCACGTTGAGCTGTGTTCATCCTAAGAGTGGACATCAAAGACATTGCTTTCATTTGCAGCAGCAGGAGGATTTTGGTGCAGACCCCCCGTGGCTGGTGCGCGTGGAGCGTGCCGAGGCCGAGCGCCTCCTGTCGGGTGCTCGAGATGGCAGCTTTGTGGTGCGGCCGAGTCGTGGTGAGGCTCCGTTTGCTCTCAGCCTGCGCTTTGGTGGCCGGCCCTTTCACTTACGTGTGCGGCGGCGCACCGACGGACGCCTGGCACTAGGCAGTGAGAAGCCGTGCGAGCGCAGCTTCGACTCATTGGGCCAGCTGGTCGAGCACCACTGCCGTGAGCCTATTCTGTTGACGTCCCGGGGCTGTCCTGCAGGCCGTACAACCCTTGCCCTTCCTCCGCTCACGTGACGGCCATCACTCTTTGTGCAAGTACGAGTATCGTAATGGTAGACAACCATATCACTGCGTCTTAGGTTCCTTACCACAACGAGACATTTTGTGACCCTTTCCCAGCCAGCATGGCTGTCTTGTGCCAAGATTTTCTGCTCTCTTGCAGCTGCATCATTTGCCTCTTGTCTGGCTGTGCCATGCTTGTTCGTCTTTCTTTACAGATTTTTTTTTTTCTATTTCATGACAGCAACTTCACAGACCACTGAGTTTATGAATGCGTCATAAGGTAGCATAACAGAAATCTACCTTCATGGCGCAAGGTGTGCAGAGATATACTCAGCTGTTTCTTTCTTTCCAAAGGTACAGTTCTTGCAGATTGAAACTGAACTTTGTTTTTTCCTATTAGTACAATGACTGCTATACGGAGTTGCTCATGATAACAGTGTCGTGTTTCTGCAAATCTGGCCACAAAAGGTAATCTTGTCTATGATGCAAGTGTCCAAGTCAGAATTAAGCCGATCTGACATGAACTGTCGACACTGGAAATGAGATCACGATGTGCCTCACTTGGTCCTAAATTATAGCTTTCAGTCCACGAGTCTGGTGCACCACGAGATGCCGAAGACATTGCGTGTGCATAATGAAGTCCTGATGTAGTCCAACTGAATGTGCCTTATGTATAATGTCCTCATGTGAATAAAAGTGCCTTGCCCTTCATGTATCCTTTGTAGTTACTGTACTTATACTGCGTAGTGTGATGGCTGTGGCTCTGTTTATTTTGGTTTGTGGATGCATTTTAGAGGTTGAAATGACTTTTCTACTGCAAGGTAACTGAGACCTTATATGGGCACTAACTACAGGACTTTCGACAAGAAAACTTCAACAATGTGGGAAAAACACTAATGGCCGAAAAGAGAGTCAACACGGGCGAGTGCTAACTTTCAACAGATTTTTCATTTGGAAGACATATGTAGCATCCTTCCATTGATTTGCACAAGAATGTAGTAGATTATGAACTGAGGCAGAACTGCTAGCCAGCCTAGTGGGAACAAATTAATAATTTAGCATCTCTGCGTGTAACAAACAAGGATCGAGGAAGAGTGCTTGTTCATGTGTGCTCCTTGTTCTTGTTTGTAATGTGCAAAGGTGCTAAATGTAAATTATTTTCTATGTGAATGCACTGGTAAGATAGTGCTTTAAATTTTTTGTTTTGTCACCTTTTAGTGTTTATGTGCAGTGCTTGCGAGATGTTCTATTGCGCAGCACAATTTTTCACTAGATATACGTGTCTTTTCTGAATTAAAAATCAGTTGGAAGTCAGCGCATGTTCGTGTTGGCTCCCTCTTCGTCCATTTGTGTTTTTCCGTGTTGTTGAAAATTTCCTGACAAATATCCAACAAGTCCAAACGCTCACGTTAATGACTTTCGAGCATAGGAGCCAGACATGCTGACCACTACACTACGAAGGCACACGGATTCTTCTTGGATGCAAACATGTTAAAGGGGCCCACCCTGCAACACTTTTACAGCGAAAGCTGTTATGGGATTGCAACACAGGTCACACGCAGTGCCGTAGCTGTCCGCCGCCGCCGGTGTCCGTAACCACTATCAGACGAAATAAGAAAAAAAAACTCAAATTAAAGACACCAAGAACGTGGTGACATAATGAGATTTGAACCAGGGTCCACTGCATGCCAGCAGAGTATTCTACCGCTGAGCCATGCCGCTGCAACAGTTTACATGCCAGCACCCTTTTCTTTAGAGTTGTGACGTTTGATTGGATTGAACAGGTGATGAAGTGAACAAAGTTAGTCTTCTCTGGCGATGAAGCACCAAGCGCACCCGGTGGGCTCAAGCCTATGATTGGCGTAATAGCAATTTTAAGTTTATTTTTTGAAAGTAATTTTGTCTACCAGTTGGTACAACTTTTGCGAAATCTTGGCTGTCATTCGCAAAGCTAATCAGTGAAATTGACAGTTATAGAAGCAATAGACAACCGCAACAATGTAGTTTAAGTTTGTTTTGCTTTTGGGAGAGAACTATGTTGTATTTCATCGCATGACTTGTCACAGTTTTTTATCACAGGAAAACTGTCTTCCCAAGGTAGTTATTCCTAACACAAAGTGACAGAACTCCCCCCTCCCGCCCGCCTTGCATTTTTTTCACGACTTGGCTTTTATATCGCACAGCATGCACGATACATCCCGCTGTATTACGTAAGCTGTACACTCAAGACAAGTATTCCGTCACGTAATTTTAATGTAAAAGTTAATGATTGTTGGGATTGCACAAGGCCGGTGCACAGCACAAACTAAATGTGTCATGCCAGTTACCCCGCTGGGAAGTGAGGGGTTTCTTCGTTCGTGCTACTGTGCAAGAATACTTTAGGCGAGGTGAGCGAACTCTGGGACTGTCCGTTGTCCGATAATGTTCTGCTTTGCAAGGAGCCCAAGAGATGGTGCCATGATGCAACAAACTTTGCCCCGGCGCCCCCCCCCCCCCCCCCCACTCTCTGTGGAGGAAAGCTCCGGTGACTTAGGAAGGTAGCGACACTCATTTATCGTCGCCACAACACCCTCGCCGCACCGTCAGCATCCTTCCTTATCAACCCCTCTTTCATCTCGTTGATATGGCGCGATAACGCCACACACACCAATATAGCTGCTTTAGACGCACAAGCGAGCGTGGCCGAAGCATGCATCCTCGGGCACCTCCTCAGTGCTGCTTGGAACAGTGTCTATTTTGGAATCTCTATTCTGCAAAGGGTCGACCGAGGAAAAAATGATTCGCGACGCTGCGAATCGCAGCGCTTCCAAGCATTAGACTCGTATTTGACCGTAGTAGATATTTTGTACAGCGACGACATCAATGCAGGCAACAAGGCATGACTGAATGTGTGCACCTAGCAGATGAATTGTTTGTGGAGCAGCATGGCCTGATGTCACTTTTCTGTGGAAAGTGGTCAGTATGGAGGTGACCGCGAGGTAGTGCCACTGGTAGCGCTCCTAGCGCTAAATATAGTGGAATTGCCGACCGTTTTGAGTCGTGCTAGATATCAGTGATATAAACCAATAAAATTTATTGGTATTCGTCCTTCAGTTGCGTTATAGGTTGCAAATCCTTACTAGAGAGGTTGATAGCTACTCCTTGACTCGAAAATAATTACAAGAGTAAATCTGATGTCAGTGCTCCTTTAATCCAACAGCATTCCCCATTGAGTACATAGCTAATGGTCTTTCTCGTAGTACTCGCCAATCCACACTCACGACCGCTACAGTGGTAAACTAAATATGGGTTTCAAATGCGTACAGTCTTTTTTTTTGCCCTGAAACAGTGCAAAAATGATGCTTTGGTGCAAATTCATTAAAAGATGTTTGCCAACATGCAGGACATTTAGCCTTTTGACAAAATGTGCTGTTTGTATTGCTGTAAAATTAGAATTTGACCGAATGCCAAAGCAGTGCTGGCAAAAATTTTTTTGTTGAAACTGTACGACTCGACCATACTTAAAGCTTCTATAAGCAGAGAAAACATGTTCAAGAAGTGAGCGAACACATATTTCAGCCAACTATGTTTATTCCATCCAAGCTGTAGCAATCAGGCATTTTACATCCATGCAATCAACCATACATGTGAGTAAGGCAAAGGTACAGCTTTCACCTAAGCTTAAAAGGCATTGTGAGTCGGAAAGCTTTGAAAACATACGTGCACATGTGGATTTAAATGGACCGGAAAGCCACAACCGATCGCAGGTTTTCAATCTGAATCCGAGAAATCATCTTCGTCCTCAGAGGAACCTGGCTGTCCATCTGATAGTGATGCAACACTTGAATGCCGTGATGAGTCACGCTGGACCCTGGACAGATGAACAAGGTTAACCAATCATTTTCTGACAGCATCAAATCGGGGACTTTCAAGGACACCTTAATAAGACGTTTTACTCAAGTGCTTTGAAAACAGTTGGGCACTTTTATTACATTTACAATAGACTTACTATACATTATGCCACTATGGGTTAAAGTTTTTTTCTGCTTCATGCAAGCTCACCAAAGATTGTGCAATGATGCACAAAAGAAGGCACATGTTTGGTGGTAAACAGCACTCAATCTCTGAACTGAGTGTAAAACAAGGGTGGTGTAAAAAATACCCCTGCCCTGTGGTGGTTGCTAGAAGGCACAGACAGAATATACTGCTTTAATGACAAAGCAAGAGAATTCCAACTAGCTGTTTGTTGCAACAGGAGCGGCCACCTACATATACACAGCAGGTGAAGCGGGTTTAAGCTAAATTTTAAGGAAACAATCATATTCTACAAATGCACACAATGGAAAGGGAAGCAGCAGGTCTTCATTGCTAGTACTGAAAAATGCACCAGCATGCCTTCTCTGACTTCACTTTCCAGCAAGCTGCAATTTTTAGACTATTTTATATAATAATCACACCCAAATGTCCCTGTTTGACAATGCGGTTTACTAGCTTCCATTGTCTGTGCATGCCAATGCCAAGTTAATTTAGCATGTAAGAAAAAAACCATTACTGTTATTCCACATATTGTTATCGTCAAATGGCAGTTAGGCCTTCAATCTTGGGTGCTTCCTGTGCTTGCCTCTTCTATTGTTTGGCAAGCAAGACAAAAAGATACTGATTTCTATAACGGCATTGTTTATGACAATTTTCGTTACTCTTTTGAGTCTGGCTTTCTGAGCTTACAAGCTTTACTTTTTTTTTTTTTCTCTTGTGCAGCCCGGCCATTTATGTTCAAATATGCACCAACTAGCCCATACAAGGGCTTTACTACATCATGGAGCATGCTCAAATCATGTTATGAGAGTTTTGCCACAAGGTAGCAGCATGCAGCAGGTTGGTGCAAATGGCACAGCTACTACATCACTGTTCCGAGTCTTCAAACATTGAATGTGCAACATCGCCATTCAAATTTAGAGGATGTTATGAGTAGAAGGGCATAACAAATGATGAAAACTTTGGTGACACGTGATGAGGTGTGAGCAATGAAAAAGTCCTCGTGTGCAATTTGATTATAGGAGGGCTCATGGCAGGATCAAGAAAAAATGTCCCCTTTTGTATTTCACTCTATCATTGATTTCAAAGGCCTGTTTTAATCGCCGTGCTTTTTTTACAAAAAAAAAAAAAAACATACCCGATGACTCAGCTTATGGTGGCCATCGTACGGTGCGCCTAGTGAAGTTATGCAATTGTTTTCCATATTCCTTATTAAAAAAACAAATTCGTTTGTATCTGTAGGTGTATATATGGTGCTTTCACAATTTATAACACACAATACTTATGGTCTATCTGGGAATATTACGTGAGACTTGTCACGTCACACCAATCAGAACAACCAGCGAATGTCATTACTCTGACATGATGAAGCATCATTTCAGATAAAACACACACACACAGAGAAGAAGCCGTTGGTGTCACTCTAGTCGGAAACCAATGTGGTTTTACCACTGAAATAAAATTATAACAGCTTTGTTTTTGGCATTGCCACTTTTATATCAGTGTATTTCACACTTTCAGAAGAAGCAATGAAAACTACATGCTTAATTTGTGTTGCGAAGCCCCTTTAAGAAAGATCATCAAGGGTTCACTGGAGTGACTTTTACATCCCTGATTGTGAGACATGCTCAGACTTGCAGCCTGTCTGCAGAAAATCCAACTTTGACTGCACAGTTTTCTGACTGTGATGCAGTAACGCATAAAAAGAAAAATGGTGGCCTGTTTGCCTA